TGCACTTTTTGCCTCAGTCTTTATGCTGATCTCGTCTCCCTGGTATCTGGTAATAGGACATGTGGGACTGGTTCAAAGCTGGGTAGGTTTAAACTAGACATTAGGAAGCATTTCTCTACTAAGAGGGTGGTCAAACACTGGAACAGGCTTCCTTGACAAGTGGTTGATGTCCCTAGCTTGTCAGTGCTTAGGAGGCATGTGGACAAATGCCCTTAACAACGTGCTTTAATTTGGTCAGCCCTCAACTAGTCAGGCAGCTGGACTAGATGATTGTTCTAGGTCCCTTCCAACTGAAATACTCTAGTCTGTTCTTCTATTCTACCACTACATAGCTTCCTTAGGCCAACAAGTTAGGATGAAAGACACATGCCCTGAAGTGTGTTCAACCCTGACAATATCCAAAAGCTGTGACTGTAGTCCAGAATAAAAATGAAACTCAAACAAAAAGCTCCATCCTTCTCACAATATGCCCAAGGGAAAAAAAAAAAAAAAAAAAAAAAAAAAAGCTGCAGAGCATGGACACATTTAGAAGGTACCTGAAGCAGTATGTGCTAGTGAATCCTGGGATATGCCGAAACCAGAGCCTAACAGAGCCAGACTGGGAAAAAACAGGCAGAATGACAAAAAAGGCACACAGATTTTCAAACAAACCTGCCAAAAAGCCTCCCACCACCATTCAATGGCAGCCTTCAAATCATCATTAAGGGCATTCTGTTGCAGCACTCAAGAACCTCACTTGGAGAAAACAAAACCAAGGCACTGCAGAGGGAAAAGACAAAAAAAACCCCACAAACCCAAACCTCTGGACTCTCACTAGGGTATACAGATGTGGCACTCCTTACAGTGGTGGGGGACAAAGAGTAGTAGAACATCCTGCCTGGGCTCTGCAGTTTTTAAAACTTCTTGCCACACGGGCGAAGAGAAATGGTATGTTGGTATGTGCACTGTGTTACCGACTGAGATGTTGCTGGAATTGGCCTGTGCCTGGCAGCACCGCTCACACGTGTTGGCCATCCAGCCTTCTCCAGCTTTTGAAGAAAACCGTGTGGGCCAGCACCTCCCAGAGTTAAAGCTGGGCACTCCTGAATGTCCCTTATTGTGCACCAACCCCAAGACTGGGCAACTTTTGAGATTTTGGCTTTGAAGGTCAGACAACTGCTGTCTGTAAGCAGGCAGTACAGATGCCACTAGACTATTTCAATTAGCCTTATTCCAATTAAATTTCTCTGTTTTATGATAAGTTTTCTTTAACAGCTGCAGGCATTACTGTTTATTTGGTTGAAAGAAAAAGAGAGGTGATGGGCATCATGAAAATGCAAATTAATAAGCAAAAAGATTGAATTATGCATGATACACAGCTATAAAGTTTGCCACCATATAGCAGCAAAAATGTGTGCTATTAAAAAGAAGTTTTCCTGGATGAAAATTAATTCACACTAAGACTCTTTACGTCAGAAGTACACGAAACAAGCATAAAAGCAGCATAAATTAACCTATGCAGTAGTTTGGAGACCCCCAAGCAAAAAGGGAAAAAACACACCGTGGAGTGTCCATTTCAGTCATGTTGTGAAAGCAAACAAAAAAAAGCCGAACAGAAGAATTAAAACATATCAGACGATTTGCACATATTCAAAACCAAAAATTAGTAATTTTGTCCCCCTTTCGAAAACATGCAAATACTTTTACTAGAATTCCTCTTTTTCCATATTTTCCTTTTTGCAAGACTTGATTTCACAGTATGCCTCAACTAAATCTCTCTCGAGTGTTATTGAAGGTTCCCCAAGCAATATACCTTCATCTGATTTTCTTTTTTTTTTTTTTTTTCTCCAGAGACAGAAAAAAAGTCACAATTTCAACATCTTTCTACGAAATTTTCAGCTGCCTGTAAATTCAAAGACCCCCCCAAATGCCTACTGAAACTGTCTCTGGTCTGTCACAAGTGCAGAAGAAGAGCTGCTGTGACTAAGGGTGGTGTCCCAGGCAGCACTGGCACGTGAATCACAGGAGGGTCACCCTGACTACTGGAGCAGCTCTCAGTCTGCCACAGTCCAGATAGAGACCCAAGGAGAAGGCTAGGTGCAGAGGCTGTGGGATTCAGTGCAAACACCTTTCTATAGACCTAGCGACATGATTTCTTTTCATATAAAAGCATTTCAAGGAGGAGTATCAAATACATACATGAAGTAAGTGCCTTTGGGACCAAAATCAGTGCTGCCAGATGAAAAGGCTAATACTAACATTACGATCAGTCTTGCCCCTGTGTAATCAGTGAGAGTGCTCCCACAAGCTCTCACAGGATGTTTATTTAACATCAGTTTAACAGAATCTGTTTTCCACTTGCCTCTCCATGGGCTCTTGTGTACTATGTCAGTTCTCCCATTACTCTTTCTATATAGTGCGTAAAAGACACGACCAACAAGTTCCAAAACAATGTAATAGAGCAGGCATGAACAGGTGGAGGAAACCGACAGTTTTGTTGTAAGAGAAATTGAGCACCACCTGGAAGATACTTAATTAGAAATGAGGAGGAAAATAAACTTCTTTATTTCTTTCCTTTCCATCTCTCTTCCTCTCCTTTGTCAACAGTGACCCTTCACTCCTCCTCTGTCTTTTCCTGTACACATTTCTCCCCTGATCACAGCATCCATTTTGAATCCCACACCCAACATCTTTCATCCATCAAAACCAGCAGCAGAATGCCAGGCAACAAAATATCCTATTCTGCTGTAAAAGTGGAAAGTGGTTCAACATAGGCTCACATATACTGAAAATTGATAATAAATATTGAATTTAGGTGCTTTAGTATTTAGGGGTCTGATGAACCAGTTTTTTGAAGATAAATCAATGAGATCTACGAAATGCTGAGTTCCAGTAAAAAGATCAAGTCCAGCCTGTCACAGACAGGCAATCAAAAATTGAATCCCCCTCCCCATTATTGATCTTCTGAAAACACAAGGTCTTACAATAAGATAAATTGCAGACCAATTTAAAACCAAAATACTCTGTAGTTTCAATGCATCAGCATTTTCCTTCGACTTTTGACAGAAGATTTATCACTAGAGCAATAATTTAACAAAAAAAAAAAAAAATGCATCAAGCTTTTTTCACTTAAACCTGTTTTCTTTCACCTTTTCAAAATAATATTCTGGGACAGACTGGATATGTGAAGAACTTGTCAGAATTTTACTGCTATTGCCGAGCTTTCACTTAGCCTTTATTAATAAGACTAACCTCAATACTCCGGATATGTGTATGTGTTCTTTACATTTACACATCTTCAAACCATGTATATGAGAGAAAAAAAATGAAGTGATGAACTATAACAGAATACATAATTTTCTGCTGTTACACACTGTAATACTGACTTCTTCAAGACTTGGAAATCTGTACTCAGGTGTATGCTACAAAATTGTGCCTAGAAAGGAATTTTGAAGACAGAAATCACAAATCAGAGACATTCCAAAATTGGCACATTACTTTTGCTGTAAAGATTACAGACACTATCCTAACAAAAAGACTTACATTCTTAAATTATTAAATGTTCAAATAAGATAGAGCCAGGAAACACAAACACACAAAATATATTCTCATATAATTGTTTCTCCTCAAAAGAAATCTATGGGGGAAAAAAAGCACACTGCTAAAGGCACTATTAATACAAAAGAATGCTTCTGCAGCCTTTGAAATAAACACTAAGTAGCGACAGCCAAAGAAAAAAAGTAGATTAATTGCTTGACTTTGACACATACATCCAAATTCAACAGCATACAAATATACCCTCAACTACTACACTCTCAAAATGCAACAATTAATAGCAAGCATCAACTGCAGCTATGTAAGTTCATCTACTTATGACTATAGAAGTCATAGTTCACCAAGTTTCTTCAGGGTACTGTAACAAAAAGCAAACATTTTTATGAAAAGTACAGTATTTCTACCACAACTGCATTTTTAAAAAATGTGTATTAGACATGCTAAGGACAATATCTTAAATGCAAGCTTAACAGCCAAAGTATGAAATGAAGACTGAAATTAAATTATTTCAGGCTACACAATGTTTTGTAGTTCAAATTGTCCTGCAAAATGCCACCTGAATAACATGAATCCATAAGTTTTAAAAAGTGTCCTTATGATAATTTTAACAGTTGCAACCAACCAGTAACTTTTTCTTCGGATGCTTCACAGTTCACTACTAAAACTGAAGGAAGTTAAGAATGAGCACCGTCTGATCTCCTTCTGGGCCTCTCATTGCAAACACCCTTTGGAAACTTTAATAACAAAATGAACCAATAAATTATTTTCTTCCAGTCCTGTTCAGGAGTCAGGTTACCAAAATTTTTTTACTTGGCACCTGGTAGACCAAGTGTCCATACCCAGCCATCTCTATGCGTTCCACCACCACGAGTGTCTTCTCAACCTCCTTTTGATACAGAGATCTGAAATGGATTATTTCTATACATACAACTTACCCTGCCCTTGCTATACCATGAATACCCACTTCCAAGCACCAGCTCCTCCTGGAAAGTGGGAAAACTTTCAGACATGCTGCTGCAGGGAGGCTGTACCCAGCCACAGCAGCAGCAGCAATGGCACTAGCTAGCTAGAAAGTATGAGGACAGTTATCCAGGAAAACCACTGGCACCCACAGTAGCCAGACAATTCTAGCACAAGTCAGTGGTTTATTACTACTACATCTTGAAAGCAGGAAGCAGAGGTAACCTGGAGTCCACTGGTTCCAAGAGGGTGAGGAAAATCAGCAGGGACTAAAAACAGTTTTCAACAACTTGTTTAGGAGTTATTTTGGATTTCACAGCCAATTTTATCAATTTTGGTCAAAATTTGTGCTTTGTGAAGCATCACATTCTGCCCTCTGTAGAGGTAAAAAACTTTATTCAAAATTACGCAATTTTCACATACTCCATTCTCCTTTAAAAGTATACAGCACACCCAAATTTGCAAATGTATTCACAAACCGGGCAATGTTAAAAGGTGAAACTTACCCCATCCGTAGCTTTTACTAAGAGATCGTAAGTGGTTGGATCTTCTTCTCTGTCAATGTCTTGTGACACACAGATCTGACCAGTACGTGGGTCAATCTGGAAGGCTTTGGATTTCTCATAATAATGGAATCCGTCATAAAGAAAATACTCAACTTCACCAAACTGGTCGGCATCTGCATCTGTTGCCTTGACCTGCAGGGAAACAACAGAAGTATAAATAAAACCAGCAAAACCATTATTCATTCATTCAAAAAAATCACACACACTTTGTTTTAAAGATACCTTTTTGTGTTTTAAAAGCAAATGTGCATACACACAATCAATACAACCACACTCCGCTACCTAAGCTGTCTGTCTGCAGTCTGTAAAATAATGACTCAGCTACTGACAGTGTAATTATTGCAACAAGCATGTAAGATCGATTAGACCTCGTCTGTAACTTTACTCGTTTATCTGTCAGTAACTATCTCAATCAAGTGGACTTCCCATGACTGGTAGAGCCAGACACATCAAGCTTTGTTAGCAGGCCATACCCTAAGCTACTTTCCCTTAATGTTATTTTTACCAGTGCAGGTAGGTCTTATGAAAGCTATGTCACACACAGATCTGAAAAGTGCTGACAGACATTCTTACCTATGTTCTAAAAGATTCCCCAGAGTTTAACTTTGTACTTCATTTGAAAGAGAACCTGGTGTCGCAGTGACATATACAGGTTAGGGACTGGAGGGGGGTTTAATCTCCAGTCTTCTCTCCGAGGAGCCAGAGCTCTACCAACACAACTGAACGTGACTGTCACATGCAGGCACAGCACAAAGCTAGAGATGCACAGACTGCACTAAGTCCCTGTAAAAGACTTAATCACCCTGACAGTGTAGTCTTGCGGGTAGCTCTAACTGCTGAATGACAAACCAGCCTAATATATTTTCTTTCCAGTTATGTCACGTACATCTAAAAAGCAGCACGAATTCTCCTGCAAATCCCAAACAAATGTATGTTAAAGAAAGACTTCCTTCAGAGGGAGATGCCTCTGCACCCACATGGCACCAAATGGGAAATATGTACATGCACATATATACACACATATACTAAGTCCAGCTGACCAGGAAAATGGGTGGCAGGAGAAAACCTAGATGGGTGATGGTTAAAGATTGGAGCAGGGGAATGGTAGCCATGGAGGCGGGGCCTGATCCAAGGCACAGAAAGGCTCTTTCCAAACCAAACCACTTCAGCTCCTCCCTTTCTTTCCAGCTACACTCAGTCATCTTGGCTGCTTCTCCTTCTAGTACAAACATGGCCTCAAGGGCCAGTCAGTGCCTTCATCGCATGCTCACTTCTTTGCCCACAGAGGAATTGCTATGGCACTAAAGTACTGAACTGGGACTTAATTAAAACCAAATGAATGAAAACATGGCTTGGGAAGGCTGAAAAGCATAGAAGTGAGGAAATGGAAACCATGTAAAAAAGTGCCAAGGCAAATTATACAGCTAAAACTTACTGTAGACCAGTTACTTCCATCAGAATTTCAAAATCACAGATAGCCCAAAAAATACATGTGTTATTTCTTTTTTTGTTGGGTTTTTTTTTGTGTGTGTGTTTCTTGGTTTTGGTTTTGGTTTTTTTGGGGGGGGGTTTTGTGTGTGTGTGTGGGGGGGGGGGTGGGGTTTTTTTTGTTTTTTGGGTTTTTTTTGCTTTTTGAGGTTTTTTTGTTCATTTGGTTTTGAGCACCTTGTGAACTTCTCCGCTTTCTGCATAAGATGCTTCAGATTCACTGTATTTCAGAAGAGGTATCCCTGTAGATTGTAATTGAGCCACGTACTCCAGTGCATCTTTCCACCCCAAATCTAATGTGGGTGATAATACTGGAAGGTTCTGTCACCCTGTGCCTGCACGCAGTTCCATGTGCAAATGCTAACATTTGTCTGCAATTGAGCATGGGTGATTAATTATGGGTGTGAAATTTGAGGGTATTGTTAGAAGTTTAGCCCATTATGTTCAGCGACTTGTCTTCTTCCTTGTAAATTATGCAGTCCCCAGACTTTGAGCAGTATATGCAAAGGAATAATGAATGATGAATTTAAATAAAAATGCCTCAGTTCAAAGCAATACAAATTTGAAGGTCTAATTGTGATCAACTTCAATTACTTTAATCAGCAGAACTGTCATCCATTTCCGCATTTATCAAAATATGATCTTCCTCCCTGTGCAAGTCTTTCACATCCTTTCAATTTCCACCCACTTAATAGTCTTTTTTTTTTTTTTT